AGTCATTTAAAAAATATGCCTCCACTACATCCTGTTGTTGATCATGTGACTCGTGTGATGCGAACAAAAGTGTTTCTGTTGCAGTTTTGAGGAATAAACCAATTTTAGAAAAACAGCTATTTTCTTTTTCCAAAATTGGAAAATTTGGGGAAATTTTCCAATTTCCAAAATTTTCACTTAGCAAATTTATTCTCCAAATGTTGAATTGTGCAAATCTGAGGTGAATGAAAATGCAGCGGTGATTGGCCACAGCCGCCTTCAAGTCTGAAAGCAAAATCAGGTGTAGACAACAGATGGATGCATGAATGAAATATTCAGCATGATCTCAATAGTGCCTTTTTATTCTTGTTGTTTAATGCTCTTATTAGATCAGGTAAACCTGTTTTTGTTCCCCCTCTTTTTCTTCTTCTTCTGGAAAATGCAAAAAGAAACCACAAAGTGCACAAGCCACATCGATCCATTGGTTTTAGAGCTTCTCCTCTGCTGGTGTCTTATTGATTTTTAACTTTGCTTCTATTCAGGGAAGAAGGAGAAAGATGTCTCCCACATCTTTGCTCTGTGTTGTTGTACCACTCTTTAAAGGGCACACACACACACACACGTCACACGCAGCACACACTCATGCTTTCGTCTCTGTCTTTGTGAGGACCGCCCAGCCCCTTTCACCTGAACAATCACAGATAAACGCAACTGTTCTCGCATTGACTCAAGACTAAATTGGCTCCTCACAAAGAAAGACACACACACACACACACACACACACACACACACACACACACACACACACACCACACACACACACTCTGGACATTTTTGCTTTCTGCTCTGGCTGTTCTAGCTGTGTGCTGATTAACACGGAGGTAAACCCATCACCAGGAGGAGGGGCAGCTCACATTCACCCTGTTGCTCACACTCATCTGCCGGGCAGAGAGGAGTCGTGACTAACCAGAGCAGTGAAGTCTGCCGTACCCCCCTCCCTCTGCCCCTCTCCCCAAACCATCTGTGTGCTTCTTCTTCCTCACCGACTCACATTCAGAAACAAGCCGTGCAGGACTCGGAGAGATAACCTTAATGAAATAAGATGAGAGACCTCCATAGCAGCCGGTTCCTGTTTCATCTGTGCAGCAAGCAAATGTGTATGTGTGTGTGTGTGTGTGGGTGTGTGTGTGTTGGATGACGGAGCAGCTCTGATCAGAGTGACAGAAAGGCGTCGAGCTGCTGCGCTCAGCCACCTTGACGCTCTTGCATGTTGCCACTGCGAGCATTTGGATCCCATGTCTGTTTCACCACCATCACAGCTGGAGCAATGAGGGGGGCGCCTGTAGGATCAGCAACAACTTTATTTAGATCTACACACACACACACACTGTTGCATCTCAATCTCTGCTGACCACAGAAAGCACTTTCCATTCCCCTCATCTTACTATCGCTCTCTCACAAACACACACACACACACCCTATGCACACACACACAGACAAAATAAGTATCTCTAGTGTTACAAGCCAGCGGGGATCATCTCATCCACACTTTGTTTAGCTTTCTCAGAGATAATTATTCGGATAAGCTGAAAACACTGATACAGTGATGACCACTACCACTGCAAGTAGCTTATGGCTGTTAACCTGCCATCGATTTTATCAGGTTACCCTTGCTATGTGAAGCAAAAAACACAAAACAAAAGCGTTGGGCCAGTCAAAATGAAAAAAATGATTGCCTTCTTTATGGCTATAGCCTTCTATACTAGCATGTCAAAAAGCTCATTTTAGCTGAGAAAAGAAGCTGTGAAAATGCATCTAAAACCACTTCAAACAAAACCCAAGCTAGCCTTTTTCATTAGATCCTAGACGAGTGTCTAGTAATAAAGAGATGGAGATGAAGCTTATATCAACATGTTAAGGGAGTAAATCAAGCGTTCCAATATATGCTTAGTTCAACCAATTCAACAACCAAAGTGCAATAGAAAACTGTGTTGATGAACTGCCCGAATGAAAACGACACCTTTCTTCTAAAAAGGGCAACAGCACAGCAGGTTCCTTATCTCCCACTGGCTGCCAGAAACAAATAAACCTGCCACCAACTAAATCAGTGTGGAGCCAGACATGTCCAATGACCTGTAGAAACTACAGGATCACTTAGACTCAGAGGAGATAATCATACAAGAACTGCAAATGCACTTCAGCCTTTAACATCTGCTGAAAGTTTTGATTGTAAGGTTGCTGGTTGAAAACTTTTCTACTGCTGAAAGGTGCTCCTGCCATTCCTTTCTCATAATTCAGGGGCTTTGGGGCTCCAGACAGTTAAATGAGTCACCACAATTGAGCAGGTTACCAAGTGTCCATGTTTTGCTGTTGCAGGGATCTGCGCAGGTTTTTACAGTTAAATCCCTCTGGCAGCCCATCAGTTATCTGGTGTTACAGGCGCTCAGGGTTAATCAGTGTTACATCCCCCACTGATTCAGAGCAGACAGCTCCTTCACCGAGCGGCTGCAGGTGCTTGTTATTACGGGCGATGGTGTCATTGTAAATTTTCAGCCTCCATGGAAGATGCTCTTCCCAGAATGCCTCTGACTCATCTGACATTTCGGCACTGAGCTGGGTCTCCTTCTCCACACCTACAAACATTTTTTTTACCCCTTACCTTGTTACTATACTAATGCCGTTTCCACATTTTCCATTATCTTGCCCCTTACGCTCAGATACAGTTTCAGAAATCTTTCAGACAGGTTGGATCATCCCTAAAATGCAAAAATAAATAAAAATCTCACTCTCAAACTGTTTTTCTTTTGTCACTGCTTTGGTTGGCACTACTGCTGTTTGTTTCCACATGATTGAACTGGGAATGTAATTAGTGATGACTAAGGCAGGGGCCATAGGTTTACGGAGTGCGTAATACCTCCCCCAGGAGCTCTTTGAAATGGGATTGAGTTTGGGAGGCATGTCTAATTATGGCTCTGCACATGGATGTATTCACTGAGGGCCTCTGCACAGAGAGCTCTGCAGATGCAGCTGCGATTCTGAAGGTCTCGGAGTTCTGGCCGTTTCTCTCAGGGCGTCAATAATGAGATTTGAAAGAACTGTTGGTTTGTTTGTTTTCTCGAGCCGCCTGCAGACCGCTACGCCAAGGCAACATTTAAATTGGTAATGTGTGTGGAGTTGCTGCATGTACACATTGGCCGAGCTGCGGCAGAGCGCACAAGGCGTCAGAGTTCAGGACCCGCAACTCGATCTCAGGGATCTCTGGAGATATTGAGACAAACAAATTTGTGTAAAGATATTAGATGTTGTTGCTGAAAAGAAAAACTATGCACTACAAGGTCAAAGGAGGAGGAAAGATTCCTCCTTCTTATAGAATGAATATTTTATTCTACATGTCACAGACTGTATGATAGTATCTGAAGTTCTGCCTCATTTTAATCAGTCTTTCCACATTAACTGTCGTGTTTTAGGAGCAAACCTATTAAAGGACTAGTATTATGTATTTTCTTGATACATCAAAAAAATTTGTTACTTTCAGTTCTTTTAAAGATGAGAAATATGACTTAAAAGAATTTTTATTTTATAATTTAAAGCCTTAAAATTGGGCTTATATTCGTATCTCTTTAAAACCTCCTGCTCTTCTTGAAATGCTGCATTCAGGAAGTCATCACTACATGACTCCTTTATGTAGTACTTGCTTGTTTGTACTTGCGCTGCTGAGAAGCTTCACCAAATGTCGATGTAGCTGCTGCTGGCTATTCTGAAGTGGGGAGGGGCTTCGTCTTGAAGGCGGAGCTTGGTCCACCCAGGCATTTTGCACAGCTGAATGGTTGCCATGGGAAAGTAAAGGATTTTATGCAACATGAAGCACTGCATGACAGACTCAAGGCAACACACCAGGTATGTTTTTAATGGGGGAGTAACATTATAAGTTTGATTTTACGTCAAATTTCCCTTTTAAAAATGTAGCTGAATCCACTGGAGAGGTAAAGTGTCAATGCAAAGTGACTAAGATTCAATCTTCAGGACTTTTGCAGCAAAATCAGTAATTTTTCAGCTTGAGAAAGAAAAAACAATTCTTACATTTTGAAACTGAAAGAAAGAAACGAATTGCCTTTCAAGGCAAGCAGGTTCAATTTTATGCTAATTCAAATCAGTGCAGTTCTATGGTGGCTCACATTCCTGTCAAAATTCCTGGGAGCGTATTAAGCAATCACAACAGGGAACATATTAATCGAGAGAGTGCATAGCTCTGATCGCCAGTATTTCCATTTATTCACAGGCCCATGAACACAGTGAGCGGTAAAACGTGCCGCTCTCCAAATATTATTTGGCGTATTTGTCAATTGGGACAGTAACTCTACTCACGAGTCTGATTGGCCGCAGGACTTTGAGAAGGAAAGAGACAGAGGAGGACGAAGAAGAAAAAAAAACGGTCATGAAAAATAAAAAAAGAATCAACAAACCTTCCTTTTCTTGATCTTCTCATCTTCTGCCTTTTTAAGCAGTTTTTTTGACAAGAAACTTTGATGAATGATAATGACTATGATGAAAATACTTCTATCACAAGAAAATGTGGAAAAGTGTGAAAAAGCAACAGAAAACCATTTCAGGGTTTGATTGGCTGAGAGTAAAATTGGTTCATTCAGACACAATTTACATTCATGTCGAACAACTATTGTCACCTATAAATTTAAAAAAGTGGCAATGAACTATAAAACATCACAAATACTTGTGCAGTTTCAAACAGCATTCTGGCAGCATTTTGTGGAATAAACCCACTGCTCCGCATGATCAATTTTGTCGACTAAAACGCTCTAAGATTTATGAACAAAGGTGAAGGTTGTTAGATTTTTCTTCCTAAACCAGCATTCATTTAAAAGAATAAGTTACCAAACTCAATACCTTTTGAACTGGAGGTCCATCATCTCCCTTCTTGCACATTAGAAAAGCGTCGAATCATCGAGGCCGCGTGCTCCTCCTTTAGCTCCGCCCCCTGCGAGTGGCACTGATCACCCGTCATACCGGAGGCAGCGCTGCTCCCCGCTCTGTCTCCCTCAGACGGCGGACTGGACGTGGCGTATGTACCGATGGCTCCCCTTCCCTCCGACCGCCCCGTGATGTTTGCGCGTGTTCCGGCTTGTTGTCGCCTCCTCGCCGGCGGTGAGTCCGGACAGACCGACTGACGGTGGATGTGAGACCCCGGCGATGCTCGGCTTCCTGCTCCGAGGGCTGAAGGCGATTTAAAAGCCCCTCCGTCAGAGAGCCGACTGGTGAGTTGAGTTTCAACGTCGGCGTCATGTTGACCCCGGTTCACGTTCTTTTAACCAAAAAACATTTTTTTAAAATGTAAAGTCTTCACTATTACTATTGCTCTACTGTTTATTATGTTTCATGTCATAAAAAATAAAACGGGAGGGGGAAAAAAGTGATGTAAAAGAAACACGACTCTCGTGTCAGTTTGGCTGTTTTTGTGAGTTTAATGTTAATTTCTATTACATTGTAGCTTAACTTGGAAGCGCGCGCACACACACACACACACACACACAAACGTCTCGCGTTATTTCCACGCGGACGAGCAGCGCGTGCGCAGAGAGGCGCTCCCCATTCACAGCCGAAGCCTTTATGAATTAATAAACACGTGGATTCATTCAATTTGACGAGTGTGTTCACACGGCGGGGCAGAAAGGGTTCAGTCAGAATCAGCCGCAGGGCGAAACGACCGGGTGGTTTGACTTTTTAAAACATTCAGAAGTCATTTGCGCAGAAGTGGAAGCGAAGAAGCAACCAACAAACACACGAAAATCCCCCAATCTCAACGAACAAACACGTTTTTATCACACAGCTGATGTTGGAGCCACTTAAAATGGAGACAAATTGAAACCAGGGGCACAAAGGCAGCATGTTCAGACCAGCTGACACAAAGAGCACTTTGAGCTTCACTTGACATAATTTTTCTTTTAACATCAATTAGAGATAATTAACATATATAATTGGAGATCCATTTATCCGTTTTTCATGTCCACTGCAGTGATGGGCGATGCTTTAAGCTGCTGTTGAAAGTGTCACTGAAAACAATGTATAACAAGAAATACAAAAGGTCTGAAGACGACATGTCAGCTTTTAGCTGATATTTGGTTGTCTCTCTTTCTTTTCTCTGCGCTTCTGCAGTTTGAGCAACATTCACAATGACAGGATGTAGCATAATACAGTTTTTTTTATAAAGGAAACCTTTTTTATGCTGCATATAAAAAGACAAACGTTTTTTTTCTCACTGTCATTAAATCCTAAGTTTGTGTAGACAACCGTGGCAGTATCATGTTTGGAATAGGCCAAAAGTAAGGCACGAGTTATGAGGAACTTGTGAAATGGTTCCCATAAAGTTTGACCTAAATCAAAGGTAATGATGGCAATTATTTTAAACAAATGTACGTAAGCTTCGTTTGATAAAAACTACAAAATTATTATTCTTACATTTAACAAATGATAAACCTAAATTACTTCAAAAAAGGCAGAAATAATCTTGTCTGATTTTAATGCCAGACTGTAAAAAAAGAATAAAAAATGCACAAATCTAAATATTAAATTACTTTATATCTAAGGACAAATGTATATTGATTTTAGAGATAAATCCAAAGTAGAATTTGCAGAAATCAGAAATAAACTCTATGACCACAAACTGTTCTGTGTTGGAGTGCAGAGAGATCTGTAGAGTGCTTAGAGCAGGGGAGCTCAAACTTTTTGAGACCAAGATCTACTTTTTCTCTCACCAGCCGGCTGAGATCTACCTCATGGCATGAAGACATACAAATTATAAATTAAACCCTATTGACTAATTTTCTATACAAATATACTATACATCAGTTATATTAGAAATGATAAAGTGATAAAAAAAAAAACCAATGCAGTTTCTTCCTCAATGAGATTCTGACACTGGGAGCAGGTTACTGGTTTCTCAGTCAGAAGCTGGTTGAAAACCTGAGGCCACCAGGTGTCAGTCAGTTATGGTAGATCCGAAATTTGGTTTGATGACGTCAATATGCGAAACCGCAGACTGATAGGAGGAACCAGAGCTCTGCAGAGGTAAAGGCAAATCTTCTGAATTTGGGATATAATTAATGTAATTTGACACAATCATTGTGGTAGAAGCCATTTGTTTGTTAAAACTTAATCAAATATATGTGTCCTATTTGATGTTGGTTGTGACGTTTACTGCAAACGAACGAGGTGATTAGTCCAAGTTTGTAATTTATTGAACGTTCAGAAACTCCAGGGGCTGTGATGAACCACAGCGAAGGAAAACAAAGTAAAATAACCCGAACAACTCAGAACCACTCGCACCGTTTCACTCTCTCTCTCTCTCTTTATCGTTAAGCACACCCGTTGCTGTGGCAACTGCCTGCGCCCCGCAAGCCGAGCAAAGATTACACTTAAAAATGTTCAGTCCGTTACGATATCAGGTTTCCAGGTTTTATTATTATTTAATGAAGCTACAAACGTTTTGGATCTTAGTGAATATTTTGATAAGCCTGTCAGAAGAGGAAGTGCTGCTCTCAGCGTCCTGCAGGCCTTCAGTTTGTCACCTGCTGCCGAGATCGACTCAAAACCCCCCGCAATCGACCGGTAGATCGCAATCAACGTATCGAGCATCCCTGGCTTAGAGGATGTAATCAAACGTTTAGCAGCAACGTTTTCAGCAAAATGTCTGCCTCGACTTTGGATGTAATTGCACTGATTTTTTTTTCAGGTTTTGCTTAATGATAAAAACAAGAATGAACATAACATGTGACAAACAGGTCAAATGATGTTTTACTATTGAACAGTTACCCAATTTTTTTGTTTTTTTGTTTTCAGTGGCGACTAAGAAATGTAGAAAGTGATTCCAGATTTCCAACAGTGTGAGGAACCAAGCTAGCCAGAGCACACATTCATCTGGAGGAAATAAGTCTGACCTCCAGGATCTGGACAGTCTTGCAGAACTGAAACCTTTAAATATACACTGAGATTGAAAAGTAATAAAAGCAATTAAAGCACAAATGAAATGGGGCCAAGTGTATAACCCTGCGGAACTCCATGGTTATGTTGTATTTGTGTGCTGTATTAAAATCCAAAAGGCTGATTTGGACTGCAATATTTAGTCCTAATGGGAGAATTTGCTGGTGGTCTTTTAGCAAAGATAAAAGATAAATCCTAGAACTGCTAAGATCTGATGCCTTTACGTTTCGCCAAAAAGGAGGTCAGAGATTTTTCTGTCGTTTCATTCAGTGCTTCTTGGTGCAGCGCCCCCACAGGCAGGAAGGAGGAACATGTTTCAAATGGTTTGGCTCGTTTGACACGGTTCAGTGTGAAACCGCAACAGCTGAAAATGTAACAGATGTTTCACTTTTGGTCTCTGGAGTCTTCCTTTTCCCGGTTGTGTCGGAGAAACAGTGAGAGGCACAGAGCCACTCATTCTCTTCTCATGATTACAGAAACAGCAAGCGGCCACTTCCAGACTTCACTCAACCTGAATAAATAGATTGCTTCCTACTGGGCGACGAGGCTGGCGGCGGCCGCCGTTTACCTCACGTTTCCGTCGTTTCGGTGTTTCCACTCGTCTTCGCTTGGGTGCGATCCGGTGTTGTGGCTGTCTCTGCCTTTTCCGGCCGGTGGGTCGCGTTTCCAGTTTGTGTGAGGTGAGCGTGGAACTGGACCCCCTGTGGAAACTGATCAGTGTGGGAACAGCGTGAGGAGATTTGTGGTCTGCGACCACCTGTTGACAGATCCGGAGAATACGTCAAATTTTCCTGCTGCCGGAGCGAATTCTGGACGGTGGAGGGGCCCTTCTGCTCGGGCCGCTGACCCTCGTTCTGATTGGCGTTGAGCTGCAGTTTCTCCGACGAGCGGTAGAAATTTTTTTCTGTGGCAACAGCTTGTGCATAATTCTTCCCTCCTCCGCTCTGTGCAGCTTCGCTCCGGCCCAGGGTGTGGTATAAATAACTATATGGATGGAGCAAATCTCAGCAAAAGCCCGGTGCTGTGGCGCATCAGCACTTTGAGGAGGGCCTGTCGGGGATTATTTGGTTCCCTTATCATCTTGATCCCTGCTGATGTTGGGCGAGGCGCCTCAGCAGCCAGTTTTTATCTCGTATTTCGTTGCAGGCTGATGCATCGGCGGTCAGTTGGTGGTACAGACTCTAATTTGGAATTGAACAAGATAACGCTGTACTCTGCGGCGCATCATGACCCCTGGAAGTTGGAGGAACAGAAAAGGCCAACGAATGAAGAACGTCGTTAAGACGGAAGTCATCGGCTTCTATGCACCACAAATCTGGAAGAAATTACCAGAAAACTGCAAAACAGCCGAAACACTGAGTTCCTTTAGGTAGAGGCCAAAATCTGATTAAAGTTACTTTTGAACCACATTAAATGGAATGTTGACCAAAATACTTCGCGTGTTTTGAAGATTTTGGTGACACTCATCAAAATGTAATGTTTGTTCCTGGTTTTCTCAATTGTTGACTGTATGGTTGTTTTATGACTCTCTTTTGTCATATTTGATACAGACAGCAATTTTGTTAACAACAAAAAAGGATAACATAGTTATTTAATATGCTTGAAAAACAAGTAATGCTGGCCCTTAAAAATATTCATTTATCTATACTGTATAAAATATCTAATTTAATCCACCAGTAAAATTTTCCACCGATGGTTTGATTATGTGTTGAACAGCTTCAAAATAAAAGTGTGTCTGTTCCTAGAGTGGCCCATAAAACTGTTGATTACTTAATATTGTTTGCTCTTTCTAAATAACAGATTTGTGATGGTGCCTGAAGAGATCTTACTTCTTCTGACTGAATCTGAGCATTATTTTCTTTTTGTCAGCTTATGATTTAAATCAAGTTAATAGGGGAAAAAAACAATTGACAATTCTTAATCATCTAAACAAGGCATGCACATGCAAAACAGCATTTTAAATGAAGTGGATTTCCACATAAAGTTTTAAAATCAAACAGTTTCTGTGTGCTGCCTTTGCTGCTGTTTTTTTTTTCTTCTGGTTTTATTGCCTCATCAGTAGTTCTCTGAGAATCCCTGACTGGACAGTGTTGGCTGCCTGGGCAGACGTTATCCTGTTACTTTAGCTGCTTTTCTTCCTGAACACAAACGCAGATTGTGCTGAGATGGCAAAGGTGTGATCAGTTCAAGTTTTTTTTTTTTTTAACTCCTAGAACATGAAGCAGAAACATCACAAGTTCAGCCTTCAGGGAGATGATGGACTTTTCTGTTTTAGTCCAAGTGCATGAAAAAGTCCTTGAATGACAGGACTCTGTAAATGGCTGATTATTACTTATTTTTCTAATTCAAAAAGAACAGCCGATAACAAAAACTGAGTCGAAACAAAAACTTTATTTAAAAAAAAATTTGTGGCTGATTTCTGGTCACCGGCTTTATGAAGCTCTGACCTGCCGGTGTTGTGATATCGAGTCCGAAGTGTTGCTCTGTTTAAAAGATACTTATGTTCAGTTTATTATCCTGAGCGGTGTGACCAGTCATCTTGTTGATCAAAGAAATAAAAACATGTAACAAGAATTTGGTGAAAAAAAAACTTTAAGAAGATGATTTAGAAAAAAGTGATTTCCAAGAAGCAATAGAGGCTAAAATTCAACCTGCAGCTTTTATGTCTCAGCTAATAAGTTGTAATAAAGAAGGAATTTTCCGTCCATTACATATTTATTAAAACGGGAAATGCTCCGATCCCATATTAATATCTATCTGTATCAATCCTGATGTTGAAAGAAATTCTAGATCGGGAATCAATAACAATGTGGCCGTTAGGAGCAGATCTGCACCGTCTCGTTTTATGCTTTATTGTGCTTTATTTATTTTACATTATATTTAGATTTCCTATTTGCTCTTTTTGAACCATATGGAAGAATGGTTATTTTATTTACACGTTTGACCAAGACTGTGAAACTACTGATGTATTTAAGTGTTTTGTGCAGAGTTATAATATTAGTAAATTAAATTCAGTACATTTACATCTGTGCTTGGAAGAAATACATTTTTTAAGTCAATTTAGCTGTTTTTCTGTATTGACTGACAAACTCTCAAATATCGGTATGGGAAGTGAAAAAAGTGGATGGGTGCATCCCTAGTAGTTGAAACTGTTGCAGGGCCATGTCAATAGCTGCCACTTTTAGTGGAAATAAATTGCAAATAGCGGCAACTTTTACCCTAAAGAAAAAAGAAACATGCATTGACATCAGCAGCCGCCATGACGATGTTATCTGTAATTTGAGCCACGGATGGATGAACAGGAGACGAGGTGAGGCTCCTCTAGTCGCGTGGCAGGAGCCGCCGCTCGGCCTGCGGCTCCGCGGCCGTTCCACCTGAACGCCGAGAGAGCAGAGACGGGCCGGTCCTCCGGTCCCAGACATGAACACCAAGCGTCCATGAAAACCTTTTGAAAATATATTTGTCTGGTTTTGTTGGTCGGCCTCACAGCAGGCTCTGTTTGATTTGGTCTGTGCAAGAACGCTCAGGTTTTAGAGGCAATGTTTCCAGGAGGATCCGTTTGCAGCAGAGTGCTCTGAACCATGCAGGTCTTTTTCTCTGTTTTGTGACGTTTGCAAACTGTTGCAGTTTTTCACATCCTTGTTTTTTTATTTATATATGTATATATGTTTCCACAAATTAAATATTCTACTTCACAGGAAAATATATAGTATATAAAACAAAGATGTATTGAAAATATTATTTGAAAAATAACATATTTTCAGTTGCCTCTGCTGTTTTCCACATGAACCTGTACAGACACTTATGATAATGTAAACTGGTGAAAATAGTTACATTTTCACCAGGTTAGTGAAACTAAACTATTTTTATGAAAGTAGTTTAGTGAAATCAGTCTAGTTTCACTAGAAAGGAAATGATTTGTTTCTAATAAAACAACTTAGTTTTGATAAGCCAAACAGTCTTTTGATACTATTTGACAAATAAAGTTATTACAGGAACCACACCCACCCGTAAATAGCGTTCATGAATACGTGAGATCCCCTCTAAAAATACTTCCAGCTGCCTGTTTTAATACTTCAGACATCAAAGATACTTTAACGTGTTAATTCGCGCAGAGGAAAATATTTTGGCATTACCGCAGAAGCTCACATCTACAGTCTTCTGTGCTTCTGCCAATCAGAAAATAAATGTCATTATTGGTCGGGCGTCTCTGCGACTGCTACTCCATGGCGTCCAGCAGCATTGTGCCTCGGTATTTCAGCTTCAACTGCACACTGATTTAGTGAGAAACATTATTTTTTGACAGTTCTTGGATATTCTCTTTCTTGTGTGCTTGATTTGTGTTGAACTTTCTAATGTTTAAGAGAGGAATGGGAAATTCTGTCTCATAATTCTGATACTAAGCAAAAATGAATAATTTTGGTTATCTTACTGAACTCAAAAAACAGGCCAAGTTTATTTTGATTAAAGGTCAGACTGTGAAAAAAGGTTGTCTTTTTATGAGGGCTGTAAATATCCAGTTTCGGGTGTAGTATGGACAGATTTGGTGACATAAACATTTGTAAAATTGAGTTTTCATGTCTTGTAGGAGCTGTCTGTCTGGTGGGTCCCTCACTGCTATGATCCTGAGAACCTCACGTTTTTTTCTTCTTCAGAGCTTTTCCATCCTGTCCTGAATCGCGCCCAGTTCCTCGATGGGTTCCCGTAGCCAGAGTTTCTTCCACCACCACCACCGCAGCTCCATGATGCCCGCCACCGTGCCAAGGCTGCTGCCGGAGAGCGGGAGTCTGCTGGGGGGCATCGCCCAAATCACCCCAAACCTCTTCCTCAGTAGAGGCAACGTGGCATCCAACCGCAGCCTGCTGCTGTCTAAGGGCATCACCTGCGTGGTCAACGCCACCATCGAGTTGCCAAACTTCAACTGGCCGCATATGGAGTACGTGAAGGTCCCCCTGGCAGACATGCCCCACTCCCCCATCTCCTTGTATTTCGACAGCGTGGCCGACAAAATCCACAGCGTGGGGCGCAAGCGAGGGGCGGTGCTTGTGCACTGTGCAGCAGGGGTGAGCCGCTCGGCCTCGCTGTGCCTGGCGTACCTCATGAAGTACCACCGCGTGTCTCTGGCCGAGGCCCACGCTTGGGTCAAGGCCCGCCGTCCCGTCATCAGACCCAACGGCGGCTTCTGGCGCCAGCTGATCGAATATGAGAGGAAGCTGTTCGGCAGGAACTCTGTTAAGATGGTGCAGACGCCCTACGGGATCATACCTGATGTTTACGAGAGGGACCGCAGGACCCTCGCTCCTTACTGGGGCCTGTGAGCATCTGTGCTGTCCGCAGTGAGGGATAAAGGTGGAAAGCGAACCCCTTTTTTTTGTCCCGCCTGAGCTGCAGGTTTAGGCCTGTTCTCATCAGGTGAAGTGAGATGTGTGAGTGTTTTTGTTTCTGAAGCATATTTACTGATAATGAACAAAGGAAATTTGATGGCGCTGCTCTCTAGTCTTTGAGTTGGGAGCAAAGCGACTGAAAACCCGGAATCTGTCGAACCAGATGATCATTGGGTAACATGGATGTTCTGGACTGAACGCCCAGAGCTCAGAGTGGTCGGATGGTACTGTGGTGTGTTTCCCGGTGTGTTTTCCCACTTCTAGAGGAGACGAGCACTCTGAGGGCGGCGGGTCCACGTGCTCGAACCTCTGCAGTGCCGACAGTGATGTCCCTTTCCTGACGTGGTGTCATGTGGTGATATTGTGTCAGTTTCCCAGTAATATTTAATGTGAAGGGCAGCACCATGCTCTGAATTCATGGTAGCATTAAAGAAAAGTGTGCAGAAAAATAACGCAGTATATCACAATGTACTGGTAGTGGAACGGAGGCTTACGGCGCACTTTATCCAAACATTCAAATCTGTTCCATCTAGCTTTTTACAAAGGAGAAATTTGAAAATGTGTAAGCTAGAAATGAAGGTTTAGTGAAAGCTCCTGTGTAACACAGGGTTGACTGTTCCGTCCTGTGACCACACTATGTTATTGTAGTGCTACTTGATGCTCCAATAAAAAAAATATCTGCTGCTTTACTTGGACCGCTGGCTTTGTGGTGAATGTTTCTATCCAAAACCATCACATACATCCTGTTTTTCGACTTCCTGCAACATACAACTGCGATAAAACAAGCACAGCTGTGCGTGTCCTCGCTCCTCGGGTCGTATGTTTTTGACATCAGTCACTGGAATTTCCGGATGCACATTTTTTTCAAAATGGCTGTCGTTTTTTTTGTCGTCTTTTACGCCTATCAAGCATGTTGCTCATGTCTTTAGTAATTGGATGAAGTTTGAGCCATGTCATTTCAACTCTGGTCAGCCTATTCATACGACGACATGGAGCAAAATCAGAAACTGAGTCTCACACCAGACAAAAGAGGAGAAGATGTCTCCCTTAGTATGACGTTCAAAATGAGCAAAAGTGACATTTTACTTATTTTATCATTTGATATTTATTTTTTTACTCATTTCATTTTTACGATTTGGATGCGTGAATTCTGATTTGTACAAAATTTTATTGAAAAGTAAGTGTTGCCAAGAATATTATCTACGTCAGGAGGAAACTTTAACCTGCACTGATTTGGAAATATTTTCAAAAGATGCACTGAATTACAAGGTTTTGCAGAACATTACAATTACATTATTTTAATAATAATAATGGGTCGTCATGTAAAGTGGACCAGTCTGAGACATGAAACTCGAGGGCTGAAAATGAGTCTCATTCTGCTCACAAGAGGGTAGAATTCAGTGGTTGGTTTCCACTCCGTTTTCTTGCTAAAGCAAGATATTTTCCTCCTTTCTAGAGCAAAACGCGTGATAATTATTGGCGTACCAAACAGAACCCGTCTCATTGCCTTTGACAATTTGTTCTGTACCTGGTTGAAATCGATGACACTGATTGGTGTGAAGGTATTTCTTCTGAATCGCATTTCATTCATGGGCAAAACCTCACAATGTAATTCCAAAGCATGTAATGTCTCATCATCATTCTATTAAAACGGCAAAGCAGAGGTCATGTCCTGCCAAGAAAACGCGACGAGCGGCGAAATATGAGCTGGTTCTCTCTGCTGGGGAACGCATTCACAAGTTCATATGTAAAAGTGTAAATACTGCGACCTTGTGAAGCAACATCAGCTGGACGGCGGACACTGCTCAGGGTGGGTGGGATGATGGATGTGAAGGGGGGCGGGGCTTCAGCTTCCTGCACCACAACAATGTGTCCAGAGCAACAAAGATCAAAACAGAGACATGAGTTGGAATGGCCCAGTCAAAGTCCAAACTGTAATCCAATAAATAATATGTTTTAATAAACAAGAAATATGACCTTAATTTCAACAGTACAGACCAACAGACAGACGGCTACTTTATGAAACCCATGTAGGGAAATAGATAAAGATGATTTTTAAATTGTATAAATGTATAGAAGAAATAAAATAGAGAAGAAGATACTTGAAAACTGATCTGCACTATTCATTAAAATATGGGAACATGTTTCACTGTTTGGATGTACAAGGCTGGTGGAAACCGTCTACATCACTGCTCCTGTAATTCCAGCAAAAACATATTTCTACAACGTGTAATTTTTCTTTTACTTCACAATTCTACTCTCCTTTAAGTCTGCATAAAACTTCTTGAAATTTGTGGCTGTATTGTGGCAAAATATGTGAAGGTTAAAGGGGTCTGAATAAATAGCGCTGCAAAACTGAGGAATGCTGCAAATATTTTCTTGGTGAGTTAAACCCTTGAGGTGATTAAACCACTGAACCAGTAAGAGTAGATATTAGAGGCAGAATTGATTGTGCATTTTTATAGGATAATCGAGTAACAAATCAGTTGCATAAAAAAATAATGTATATGTCAAACATGACTTAAATAAAGTTGACATGATAATTTAACGCCTTGAAATTGGGCTTCTGTCTCTTTAAGAAGCTCCTATACTTTCTAGCAGTCTACAGCACATCATCGCAACAATGCTCCTTCATGATGCTGTTGTTCTTACCACTGTCGGACTGAGAAGCAGCTTGCATGGTGAGCTCAGTGGACGTGCAGCTCCACCAGGGGTTTGCCAGTTGCTGCTGCTAGTCTCGAGGAGCCGAGTGGGGGAGGAGCTCTCTGTGAGGAAGCCAGGAGACCGCAGCTCGGAGGAGGAGCTTTGTGGAAAAAGGCAGAGCTTTGTGACAACAAGCGTTTCAGCATGCCCAAATGGTTGCCACGGGAGATTCAAGAACTTCTCAAACATGCATGAAAGAATCAATGCGACTCTCCTGGTATTTTTTTTAAAAAGAGAAAAACATTACCACATGATATGACGTCAAAAAGGTCAGTTTTACATGGTGAGCTGTTTGGGGATATGTTTGAACATAAAACTGTACTTCAAATTCATATTTGAAGCCGTTTCCTGGAGTCATGAATGATCATTTGTCTGAAAGCAGACGATGCTTTTGCTGTCTTACTCCTTCTTTTCAAACTCTGCTTGGAGGCGTCGCTGAGAGGTTTCCACATGAACAGATTGCAGTTATTTCCCTCTCCAAGTGCCTCTTGATGCTCGAGCCGCGCAGACGTTTCCCTCCCCATGAGAGGTCTTCATATGTCAAAGAAGCGTTCTGCCATTCATTTTCATTTGCTGCGGTTAGAGAGCAGCTGGCGCAAACTGATGAACGCCATTCGTCTTGTGCCCACACTTCTGAGAGACTCCCTGAAGTGGTCTCCACAATGAATTCCATCGTCCACCGAGACGACGAGCGTCTGATGGCGACCGTCTGATGGCGTCCGCAGACGGTGGTCCGAGTGATGGGTCCAAATTATACACCGCAGACGTGTTCTTTGATTGCTTTTCGAACACAAAAATGCATCCCTCCCCCGACTCTTAGCCCTTCCACTTCTTCTGGCAAGTAAACACATCTTTTAACCGGAAGATGAAATGTTATCTTCTATCCGTCAAAGAACCATTTGTGGGATCCTGAGCGCCGGAGCGGGCCTGGACATAGATCTGCAGGTGGAACAAATGGAGGTTCTGGAGGCAAACACGAAGCATCGGGTTCAGGCTATCTGTACAAGATTCACTTAAAGGATTCTTTCAGAAAATGTCCAGAGATACAAGACTTTGTAGCAATTCCTTGAACATCATGATGTCGAGAGCTGTTCTCCTGGAAGTTGAACCTGCACCGGACGCAAGTCTCGAATCTTTTATAGCCGCTAACAACGTGCTGTCACTGTGTTTTATGGGTTTTCAGAGTCATGTTGCAGTGTTTGCTTTCTAGTGTTTTCCATATAGACCAAAAAGTTATTCTTTTATTATTAAACTCTGTTTTAAGCAGCTCCACAGCTTCCTTTCTGTCAGCTTCCTCCCTGGACTTCATGATGTTTTCTCACCAATGTTAATGAACCTCTGAGGCTTTCAAACTGAGTGTAGCAATACATATTCTTGGCTGAATCACATTTCATTTGAGGGCATCGCTCTTAACGAGGTCCTGAAAGGGTAAGACTCTCAGCTGAAAAGGTCGTCAACCTCGGGTCACAGCTGTTCTGCCTCCTGGGGTCGGTCACCCTGAGGCCTGTGAGCTGCCGGATGTTTCAGACATACCGACGTTTGCAACGGCAACTGTGAACTAAAAAAAATAAAAACTTCTTGGTGTGAACTGTGGTTGAAATTTAACCAAGTTAGTCCAAGTGGACTCAACGTTTCGGGCCTGTGTATCGACCGGTCTCTCTGTCTCTTCCTCTCTAAGTTGCCTTGCAAGTTAAGTAGTCCTTTTACACATTGCTATGTCAGATTGCAGCTGAAATTTGATTTTTCTGGTTTTCAAAACTCTTTGTCCATCTTTCAAAGAATGAGAGCCAACGGACAATTCAGCTTGATATTGAAAACTCTGCATATAGAAAAGAGCGCAGCCAAAAAAGACTGTTTATCTTAACTTTTCGATGTCAGCGTGTGCTTATGAGCGCATTCACACCAGCTCTGTTTAATTCACTTTAACTAAACTCTAGTTTTGTTGTCTCAAAAGTCCAGTTCGCTTGGGGATGTGTGAATGATGAACCGAACAATGATGCTGACTTCAGGCCGCCACCGAACCCAAGTCTTGGTTCGGTTAAAGTGAACTCTGGTGCAGGTCCGATGTGAATGCCAAGCAGTCCAGAAACCGTTCCAAAAGCAGGAAGCAGACTGCAGAGAGGGGCATTGTGGGTAAATACATCCAGAACAACACGAGTCACTAGGCACGAAAATAGTGTTTTTTTTTCTTTTTTTTTACCAAACACAAAGAAATCTGCTACAATCTGACGCCACTCGGTTTTTGTTTACATTTCACGAGAAAGGTTTCGCTCAGTGTCTTCTGTCTCGTCGTTTCCTTCAACGGTTCTAGGTGCAGCGCCACCGCAGGCGAGGAGGGGAACAGCTTTTTCAAAGGTTAGCAGCTGAAAATCTAACAAATGTTGCAAATGTGGTTCCAAAGTGAACTGAGCGACCCAGACTGTCCGGTCTGAAAACAATCTTCAGTCTCTGATCGTCTCCTGCCTAAATTCAATGACAGGCCCTGTTATGAAACAGCTGTAGTGATCATACGTTTTTTTTTTTGCATTGGAAATTATAACCTTATTCAATAGGAAAAGAAAAGGAAGTGTAGAAAACAAGGCAGTATTTCATTGTCAAGACAATCGTTGGAATAACAGGCTTTATCTGCGGTGAATTATTAAGCCACAGCTATCTGGCCTTTAACAATTCACTGTAATCAGCTACAGAGCAACTCCCACCTCGCTCCACCATAAATCCTGCAGTCCAACTTTAACTAGACCACACTGTTTAAATTTCAGCTCGCTGCCCATGTTACAGTTAGATCCTGACAGCCTGATTTTGTCACACTGCAACATATGCTTTAACTGTAGGATGTGATTGACAGTGAGCATTTTTATCATTATTATTATTATTATTTTAAAATCTTTTATCCTCCAGACATTCGCAAACATTCGGGGGGTTCTGCTGCTGATGTGGCTGCCAGCAGCAGCCTCGATGACATCCCCCCCGGGGCAGATTTAAATCCTGTTAG